ATCCAGAATGCCGGGCAGCCTTTGATGAGGGTGGGTCGCCCTCTACTCTATATATCGAACAGTACCACGCCGTCGCTCGTAGACCCCGCCCTTAGTACAGCAGTGGCCGGGAAACGATACAAGATGTTCTCTTCTGACTACGCGAGACATCAAGTCGCCGTTCTCCATAGGGGGGAGGAGCGACAGAACCTGAGAGTCATACTCAGCTATGTAATCTGATGGGCACTGCCACTGGGGAGCTGAGTGTGACGTCTTTATAAGGATAATGTCCTATGGACTCTAGGCGTACAACCTCCAATTAGCAATTGTGAGCCAGGTCGAAGAAGTTCATTGGCGCCGGAGTCCGTAAAGATGGCTATTGAACTCAAGCGGATGTAGCTCGGAATGAGGGGATGTTTGGCGTAAAGGAAAAGAAAACTCGCTCCCAGAGTCCTAGATAAGTGGGGTACATCACTGCGTTTGGTGTGGTCGGAACACAATGATTGATGCGTTGCTAGACTGCAAAAAACTCGGGCAAGTGACACCACATGATGTCGTAGTGTGGATCGAAGTGGGTTGCTTGGGCGGTGGCCGCAGTGGGTAGTAGGGACGCGGCGAAAGTGGGCCAGGGTACAGGATTGATCATGATCTAGCGACTCACTGCACGTGCACGGCAGGAAGCGAGCGCGGACTAAGCAAGCACCTTCGGGTGGGCGGCGACTCGTGCCAGTGAGACCACCTCTGTTACCTATGTTTCCTTTTCCTCGATCGCAACAAACTTGAAGTCGCAACGCGCCTCGAAGACTACCCACTTGGTGCCATCTACGCTACGTTATCCTGAGATTGTCTTGATCAAGGTCTTGATCGAGAGACAGCATACCTGTGCGCTAGTGCTTTCATGTCCACTATCAAGTCATGCGCTGAAACGATCAAGGAAAATGGTAAAAATCCTTCTATTTCCAGGTTAGGTGTCGTCGTATTTGTCTCTGCTCTTCTTTGTGGAAAAAACTACGGAGGAATGATATATCTAAACATTGACTCACTTCTGGCCAGATCAAACCAGGGCACTGTATCCGCTGGGTCCATTCTAACTACCAGGATCATAACTGCAAGCGTTTCTCTGAAGAGACAGTTGCGGTATACTTACTACCACCTCCAATGGACGGAGAATGATATAGCGAATCGATCGAATGGTTTCCTGAGTGTTCCTAACAAAGTGACACTCATCGGTTACTCGTTCGTAACACTCGGAGGATTGCATACGTGGAGAGGATGGAATGGAATGGCGAAGTGCCAGGAAAACTGCTGAATGGCTAGACAATGCAAGGTGAGAGAAAGAGCGCTTGTCCACTTACGTCCATATACTCTAGAGGATGAACCGAACAGACGTTAACTCGATCAAGGAGCTATTGTCCACTTTCGTCTCGTCCAGACATATATAAAGGGGTGAGTGTCATGGCCATCCACCTCCCAGCTCACTATCGAGTCCTCAGTTCATTACTCATGGCAGCATTGTAGTCAATACCCGTTTCGCCGGTTCTGATAAAGGAACTTTCCTTGACGACCTGACCAATTGTATGTCGTTCCAACATTAATTTGAACCTCGCCCCGCTCCTAGATTACTTACATTTTTATCCTAGCGGTCACTAGTACCCCAGCCAAAAAGAAAATAACCAAGATCGTCGTTCATGGTGGAAACATTATCGATTCCGTGAAGATTACCTATAAAGAGGAAAATAGTCTGGCTCCGGTTACCGTACTACATGGTGGTCCCGGTGGAGGCGAGATGCTAAGCTTTGACATTAGCGGTAATTTGTTAGACTTTTTTTTCTTCACTCCAGGATTTACATTATTACAGCTAGCGAAAAACTCCTTGCAGTTTATGGTACCCAGCTTGTGAAACCAAGCGAATATGGTGAAAAAACGTAAGTGACCAGGGTTAGTTGCATCACTTCTTAAAAATTAACCACATCCGTCATTCAGCATTGTCAAGCTGTCGTTCATCGTCGCAAATTCCTCTGGGGGCGACCCAACGACTAAAGTTTATAGTAAGTGTTATGGGTTCATTGCCGATTGATAGCTAAAGTCACTACAGCCGCGAAGGGTGGCTCCCCTGACCCTACGGAAAAATTTGAATTATCTTGGCCCATCACCACAGTCTCTTCATTCACCCTCAAACCTAGTAAATAACCCACCTTTTCTGACGATTTCTCCGCTAATATCATATGCAGAGAGTACGGGGATAAGCTATTTGCAAGGCATAGGATTTTCCAACGTTTTGTACAAGGCTGACTCCCAAGTTCCTTGATCGAGTGACTGACTGTCACCAATGATCAATCGAATCTGAATTCTGCGCCCGCTGATGTCCCGCTTGCTCTTTTGCCTATAGTCCTTTGTCTAGCACGAATGTAAACGTCGTGAATTAGAGTTATGAAAGGACACGGATGTGTCCGATGTCTGTCTCGTTCGGGGTGAGATCGCGTTACCCAACTGAATCCAAGACTGAATCTCTCAACTACCATCGGTCACCGGTAACTCGATAACTGGTCAGTCCGAGTCACCGTTTGAGTTTATGTCAATCGATATTTCGTTTAATTCACACGAACGAATGTAATACCGCAGTACAATTACTGTAGAGGAGGGGTCTTTGTGTCAGGATGATCTGCGAGGCAAAAATGAGAGCAAAAGCCGAATCAGATTCGATAAGCGCCGGCGTCGACGCGGTTGCAGTTCCGTCGATCCTGTATCGCCACGTTGCCCTGCGATTAGCCAAAGGGCAAGCACCACGCTGTTTGTAACGCGTTCCACGACACCGCATTTTACTCTCCGTAATCGGTCCACACCATACTCTTTAATGTCTCTTTTTTTTTGGAGGGCACTTATATTTCCAGTATGTAGCTTCTTATAATTGTCTACATGCCCGAAAATAAATGCCAGACAGCAGGAGAATTTAGGATTCAGCCCTGTCCGACGCGCTGTAGCCGGGCCGGAGCCCGGATTGTGAGGGGAAATACCGGTTTATGCACATCCCTGGTGTCGGGATAGTGTGGGACTCAGAGCACGTGACCTTCATATGGGCAAGGCCCGTTGTGCTCTAATACCCACTAAAACCTCACGATTCAGATTTTGGATCCAGTTGGGTTGCGGATCCGTGTGTTTTGGCTAGGAGGTGTTTCCAGGTTTTGGTAAGTTTCGTGCAGCGTTCTTCAGACCAAGTTTGGGACTCATAGTGGCGAGCGGCTTGGATTGCGCTCGCCGTTTCCGCTCACACTGACGTGTCTATTTGTATTGTCGGACCTGGTAGTGTTTGTTTGATGACTCGACGTGCTGTCTCTGTTGCTGTTGCTGCGTGGGTGGTCGGTGTGCTCACACGTACTGGCTCTCAGAACAGTTGGCAAGGTATATTAGTTGGGTGGTTTTCCCGTGGTTTAATGTGGTGGTCTGGTGTCGACTTTCCAAGCCCGGGTGTGGGAAAAACCGCCCATGATGGTGGTTACGGTTCAAGGGCCTTTTCTACTCTTTGTCTCTATCTCTCCCCGAAGATGTCAACGTGACCAAGGCAGGTATAGGCCCGGGAACAGGTACAGTATCTTACTTCCACTTGACTATGTCTTCGCCCTTCTCACCCGGCGCTGCCACCGCCACCGTTGACCACCAGTATTCACCCTAGTCAACGCAGATTAAAGCTACACTGGGCGAAGCTAATTTCATTGATGGGTCTGGTCCTATTTTCTCCATGTATATGGAAATGACTACAGAAGAGGACAAGAAGATAGCCGAAGGTTGGAAAGCGGACCTGACGGAATTCTTATCTTTGTGCGTCACCCCCTTCCAATGTTATGCACCACTTCACTATCCCGTAGACTGGTTTATTCTCTGCTGCTGTTGCGTCATTGATCTCGGTGTCAAATGAGGACGTTCATTGGAGGTGTCCTGTGGGTTATGTCGGTAACAAAACCTACAGGACACCGCCAATTGCTATTTCTCAAACATCTACCGGAGTATTGCCGACCCCAATATTTCGAGTTCCCTCCCTTCTTCCCCCCGTCATTCTCTCCACCAAACTATACAGTTTGGGTAAACGCGCTTTGGTTGGTCATCAGCAGTAGAGCGCAGGTAATACTGATCCAGTATTACCTGTGCTCTACTCTGTCATCAGTATTACCCGCGCTCTACTTGCGACGTTGTCACGACAGTGGGCGCGAAGATACCTCTGGACACCCAGCCACGTCACAGACCACTCAAGCGAACCCGGATCCGTGCGTCAAGTTTCTGCTTCCGTGGGCAGTCGAAGCACTGCCCACGTTGCTACATGTTTCCCTATTCATTTTTTTTGCTGGCATAGCTGTATTTCCATGGAACGTTAATCTCACGATTTCAAGTTAGTGCTGTCGTGGGTCGGCGTTTGCACGGCTATCCACGGATGCGTCACACTTGTCCCGCTCTTTCGTCACCACAGCCCCCACTCATTACCAATGTGGCACATCGTTACTGGAATACCAATTATTTAATTTCGGGTCCTTCGGTGGTTCTCTACTTTTCCGCGCCTCCGCTATGCAGCTTACGATCACTTCTGGGATTTAAATTCTCGCAAATTGCTTATTCAAGGTATACTGTGCTGAGTGTTTGCAAATAGGGAGGGGTAGTTCGCGTACGCTACCTGTCACCCCCCTTTGCGCCCCTCTCCTGATCTCGTCTTTCAGTATATTGAAATTCAAGATTCTGCTTGAAAATTTCGATATTAGTCTAGAAAGCCTCTCCAAGGTCTTCTAACGACGGACATCTTGTCCTTATGTTGCCTATGGTAGGCATTCAATACCACTGGATAGGGCTGAAAGCCAGGTGTGTTGATTAGCGGAAGTGTTTCAACTGATGGAGGATTGGAGTCCTGGACGGTACGGATTAGGCGGTGGTGCCGATTTCCTCACGGATCTCTTGCCGTTTGTCCACTTACATAAAACCGTGTCAACAAGTCCCAATACGATGCGGTGCTTAGCGCGCGTTCTGAAGCTCCCATTGGCGCATTGTTGGGGTAGTGGTAACCTGGGTCGTTGCCATAAGAAATATGTCTTGACATTCGACCCGCCCCGGGTTCAATTCCCGGACAATGCAAGTTACATTTTTCTCTAGAATGGCTGTTATTTTTACGTTCTCTGAAGACCTCATTTTGCGAAGAACGAAAAGACTTTTACAATATTACAATAAATACTCTGCTGATGCTACTTTGCAGTGGCTTGCCCCGAGGCTCTAAGCTAACCTCGAACTTCTGGTATGTCACCACTAGTAGTGATTGTTCCCTGAGCCGGACCGCGCTAGCTCTCCGACTCGTTCTAAAACATCTCGCCTGCACGACACAGCTACCTGTGTCTTAGTAAACGGACACCAAATGGATTGTTTTTATCTAATCCAGCTTTCACGTGGCGGAATTGTATGTTGTAGTGAAGCCATCATCGTGAACCAATATCGTCATCTTCCCGCATCTTCTACTATCGCAGAACCACAAATGAACGTTCAGTCAACTACTTTGTCAGTTAGTGGCTTGATGAGAAGACCCATCCAAGCGCCCTTCTCCCCCTTGGCCATCGGTATCATGATTTGAGACGGCTTGCGATAAATTTTCGTTTTCTCGTTTTGAGGAGGAAGTGAAACTTCAAAATTCTCGAGGAGCGCCACAATCATGACTTGCATCTCAAGAACTCTGCAAACAATGTCAACGTGCCACTCGTGGCACAAAGCACAAGACATGGTACTTACGCGAACCGCCAAGCGATGCACGCACGAACGCCGGTCGCTAAAACATCTTACGTGTTAGAAGATGCTAGTTCAAGTCAGGACAAGCATTCGATTGCGTACAGAAGCTCATCCTGTTGCACGTCTTTAGTCAAGTGTGGTTGATATGAACATATACTCACAAGTTGCCAAAGACCCCAATGTTCGACGACGCCTCCCTGTATCTCTGCGGATCTAGGAAACGCTCTGGGTTCCATTCGTCCGCATCTTCACCCCACACATCCGGAAGGCTATTGTCCTGTTCAGCTATTCGCCCACATGATGCGAATTCAGACTCACCGATTGTATGCGGCATAAGAAATATCGATCGGTGTCCCCTTCTTGATGGGAATGAACGAGATTTGTTCTCCCGACACGGTTGTGATTGGGAAAGCCAACGGAAGGACGTCGTCCCGACTTGCTATCTTAGAGTTTATCCAGGTGATGGGATCGAGCCTCATCGACTCCTATGTTTCGTCAGAAGAGGTGATAGGCAGAAAGCATAAATCGAATTTCACCTTCAACGTGGCCAGAGTGTATGCCATGCTGTCGAGATCTGCGACGGTAAACTCCTCTCCAGTAGCTCTGGAACGGACAAGTGCGATCTCTTCTCGAATGCGCGCTTGTGCCTCGGGATGCTTCGCAATTGCATGGAAATACCACGTCAAAGTGTTGGAAGAGGAATCGTTTCCGGCAGAAAGAATCGTGCTGTATTTAATATTCAAGTAGGCGTAAGTCAACGCACTGGCAACAGTAGGTCCACATGTCCATAAGTAACGCACGCGATCTGGTCGACCATTTCGTCATCAGGCATCTTGTTCTTAGGGTCGGAGGAATGATTGGCACGAAGAAGCACGCTCATTATGTCATTTCCGTCTGCTTTGATCATGCTCTGCTTGATCAGTCCCCTAGAGAACTTGCGGACGTTGTCCAGCCAGAAGCGGAATCCACGATACTCGCGCGTGGGCAAGTATCGGACATATTCAAGCAGTGGTACTGGGATATACCTCCAGGTCTCCTTGAATATGAGGTCGTACCAAGAAGGGCAGAGCGTGGTGTCGACGCTATGAATTAACAAGATATGTCATCGTACTGGCAGATAAAGGCATTCCACCCTTACAACATATCATCATTTCGCAGGGGGTTCTTTGCGTTATCAAGTGACCGGAACTGGAAGTCGAAGCCGGCTTTAGGTCGATGGTTAGTACGCGATGTCAATAGCAGTATATGGATAAAACCTTCTCCAATGATGTCGAGTGTCGCGCTTGAGAACGACCCAATCACATTCACAAGTGGCTGGCCAGATGGATCGGCAGCAATCATTTTTTTCCACTTTTGAACAAGCTACGTGAAATCAAATTGATGAAGGATCCCCATGTACATCGCTAAGAGTCAAACCTTTGACGCCGTCTTGTGAAACAACGGAATGAAGGATTGCACCTGAGACGTAGTAAACGCGGGACTCATGATCTTCCGCTGACGGTGATGAACCCGGCCTGTACAGCTCGTCTATGAGTTCCTGTCGAAAATCATCCAAAGGAGTGCAAACCTTGGGCAGCACCTATTCCATTTCCGGCGAACAATTTAACAAACTGGGCCTTCTCTGGCGCCTTGGGGTAATGATATCCGGCGGAGTGTAGGATGTGTTTCAAGGCTTTTGGGTCTGCCAACATTAGGTGATTTATCTGTGTTCCGTTCAGTAAAGATTGGAGAGTGGTCACAGGACATGGTGCACTCACGCCGAAGCATCCAGTGCGACGCCACGCACTACCATATTCACGCATCCACTTGAACTCGCAATCTCCTACTTCATTCTGGTATCGAATGTCGGCCTCGTTACCTAAGGATCATAAATTAGTCTAACATCCACATCGCATTGAACTACGGAAACATACCCAGCCAAAACGAGGATGGTTCTGGTCCTCTGAGCTGCCCGAGAGATCTTCCATGACGACGAAGGTAGAGAAAAGCAAAGAGGGACCCCACGAAAAGGGTTAGTAGTATTGCAGTGGGGCTATTCATTGATGGGACTCGTATCGTCTCTTCGCTGTCTTAAAAAGGAATACCAAGATATTTCCGTACATGATCCGACCCGTGGCGATCGATAAGTTCGGCCGCGATACTTCAGCTCCTTGGGCTTCTGACAGAAGATACTATCTGTCGTCCGCGTGCATGTTGTAGTGGATAATGCAGATTGAAAAAATGCCCGGCCCGCACCCGGAGGCAGTGGGAAATGCTACTTGCATGAAAATGAAATTCCACACAGCACTTTGAATTCTGGAATGGTGTCAGACCTGTGGTGGTTTGGCAGTCGCCACCGGTGAGTAACGTCGCGGTCTGGTCCTCGTATCACTTCTTCTCGCTCTCTGTCTTTGAAAGGAGGCACACCTAGTTATGTCCACACAGAATCCGACCCGCGGTATGCCAACTATGACCGGTGCAAACCTAATAGAAGGACTGTATGTGCCACTGCCAAGGGTGCAGAGCGCATGAACTGATCATGCTATCTGTCCGTGTTGCCGTAAGTGTTAAAATTTTCCTTCAAAACCAAAGAAACTCGAAAAATGCACCGAGATCGTCTGACACGGGCAGATGGACCTGGCCATTTTGATACATCTTCTATGAGTGCGCGTACAGTTGCTCAGATTCATTGTCGGATTCCGCGGCTGCTGGTTACGTACAGGTGGTCTGATGATACGGGCCAGGATCCTATGTTTCAGTAGCCTGAGTGACGGTTAGGCGTTGCCAGTCAGAGATGACGAGGTGGCAATTCACAAGAGGCCCGGTTCCAAGCCCGGTTCGGTCGGCAAAGATAAGAGTGACAACGTGCAGAGGCAAGCTCTCGCGAGGGAAAAGTGAGCGAAAGATCACATTGAGAGGCGGGAGCAGTTGGAGTAAGCAGACCGAGAATGTGAAGAAAGAACTGGATACTGTAATCGATTCGAGCGGAGTTATCTGCATATTCTGGAAATAGAGTCAAGGAGTCGCAAAGTAAAGAATAATAAGTCGGATAAAAGTTGAGACGAACAAAATGGAGTCGGAAGGCCGAAAACTGGAAGGAGTTCGAAATTCGAATGGCTTGGGCGGGATTTGGTCGTGATTGCCTCGTAAAAGGGGTTTCGTGAGCGGAGTTGTTCGCCGCTCTGTCGAGTTGCAACATGACGGCCGACCCAGCATTTTCTTCCCATATTTTCTTTGACGGTCAATTCCTACTTCCCACGCAGAAATGTCGACCGTCGTCATGGTCTCCACCAGAATCGGTTTTACCTGGGAAGTCGAAGCACATCTTTCGAGAACAATCCCAATCGGATTTCAATTTCAACCCTTGTTTCAACCATTGAGTTGCAATTGGTTTGCGATTGGTTTGAGCCGCGGAGACGAACTCGATCAGACCAAGGAACCAAGGAGGACTTTCTCATAGAATCACTGTGAGTCGGTACCGCGGAGGGCCTTTTTCGTAATGTCGCTGCCATGATCAAGGTGTGATTGCATGCAAATAGCATTGCCGACTCGGAGCACGCAGCATTGGGCTTCTTCAAGTTTCATTCGTTTTCAATACGCATGATGGTGACGCGATGACGACAGATATCCTCTGTCCAATGCCCAAGAGACAAGAAGCCGAAGGATCGCAGCTGAGGACTCGATTCAAGTTTACTTATATAGCTTCAAACGAACTGCTCATCTTACTTATGGTGACGTCCTCTGTTTTGCCCTTTGCAGGCAGCGTCGCTCTCAAAAACAATCGAAAAACATTCGCATTCAACAAGGCTACTCCGTAACCCCAGGAAGAGTCAATAAAGTAAAAAGAGAGGGGTGGATGTTTGCCTCGGCGACTAATCATACAGTGGTGCTCAAGGTGGTACTACAGCCTGGGTGATGCCAGTGCATGCTGTACGGTTTACAGGTTAGTACCCAGTAAACGTAGTACATCAGTAAAATGTCATGTGCTTTTCCTTCCAGCTTCTGGCTCTTCCTCTTTCCAGGCACTTCCGGGATCGCTTCCTCACCGCTTCCAGTCAACTTCTGAAGCTTTTCATCCTTTTGTAGCTTCCCACTCAAACTTATTGAATTAGTGAAAACCACATGTAACTTGTCTACGGGTAGTGTGTGATGACTGTACTACAGTAGCAATAAATATCCTACCGTGTGACTGCTGCCACCTGCCCCCCTCCCTCCCCCATCGCTGTCGATGCGACAGCATTGTTGTTGTGTCACGACTGACTTGAGGCCACTGTCGTTATCGCGTGGCTGCTGTCGTTGCAGCCATTGTCATCACGGCCATGATCATCGCTGCATGTCGTCGTGACTTCATCGTGGTCACGGCCATGGCCGACGTTGTTGTC